TTGAAGGGGTTAAACTGTAACTAACTAACCAAATAGAGAGAGAATTTTATTATTATGCATAAGCCACCACACACTAATCCTGTACATACATGCCCTTACTATATATAGTACTCTCTTCGTCCCTAAATAAACTTCCAACTTTCTTTTTTTGTCCATCCCAATTAAAACTCCCACTTTCCCTTTTTGGCAAAGAATTTGTGGTTCACAACAATTCTTACACATTTTTCTCTCCTCTGCACAACTCTCCACCACACAATACCCACTATCTTAAACTGTGTACCCATCCGTTTTGGAAGTTTTATTAGGGACGGAGGGAGTAAGAGTAATCAATAGTCCACTACACCACATACACTTGCACATACCACATTATTACTTGTAGATTGAATTACACACTTTCAACACTCTCCCTTAATTCAAACTATGTAAAAAACATTCTTTCCTCAGAAACCTGGGGCTATAACTCCAAGCTTTTCCTTGAACCTCCTGAAGCTGTCAACTGGCAATGGTTTGGTTAAGATATCAGAAACCTGTGCTTCACTGCTGCAGTATATTAGAGTCTGTCTTCCCTCACCCACTTTTTCTCTCAACCCATGATACTTAGGCTCAATGTGCTTGTTTCTCCCATGTGAAAAAGGATTTTGTGCAAGGTTTATGGAAGATTTGTTATCAACTGGTAGCTGAAAAGTTTCTTGTTCTTCACCCAGTATTTCACCCAAGTGTATTCAACCATACTCCTTGACAAGCTGCATAAGGTGGTGCTACATATTCAGCCTCACAAGTGGATAATGCCATTTTAGGCTGCTTCCTAGAACTCCAAGAGATTGTAGCTCCATTCAACTTGAATACATAACCTGTAGTGCTTTTCCATTCAATTGTATCTCCATTCCAATCTGAATCATAAAAGCCCACCAACCCTTTCTCTTCAGATGTCACTATATTTGGAAACCACAGACCATATTCAGTTGTACCCTTTAGATACCTGAGTATTCTCTTTGCAGCAATATAGTGTGATTGTTTAGGTTGTTGCATAAATCTAATGATAAGTCCTACACTGAAGGAAATATCAGGTCTGGTATTGCAAACAAACCTCAGAGTTCCCACCAAACTCCTAAACAAACTGGCATCAACTTCATTTTCCTGCTCACATATGCCTAGTTTAAGTTTAGGTTCCATGGGACTATTTGCATGATTAGAATTAGTCATTTGGAACTTCTTTAGGATATCTGTCACATACTTCTTTTGATGTATAAAGATCCCACCATGCTGAATACAAAACTCCATCCCCAGAAAATATGCCAGATCTCCTAAATCTGTCATATCAAATTGTAGCCTCATTTGACTCTTAAAGCCTTCAATCTGCTCAATATTGTTGCCGATTACCAACAAGCCATCAACATACAGACAAATAACAACAATATCACACTTTGATCTTCTGACATATACACTACGCTCACTCACACAGGTTCTGAAACATATATCATTCAAATATGCATTTATCTTCTTATTCCAAGCTCTATGAGCTTGTTTTAAGCCATATAAAGCCTTTTTGAGCCTGAGTACCTTATCACTTGCACCCTGAACATCAAACCCTAGTGGCTGAGTTACATATACTTCTTCTTCTTCTTCCAATTCTCCATTCAAGAAAGCAGACTTTACATCTAACTGAGCCATTTTCCACCCTTTGCTACTTGCAAGTGCAACCACCATTCTTATAGTTTCTATTCTTGCAACTGGAGAAAAGACTTCAGTGTAATCAAGTCCCTCCTTCTGTAGGAAACCTCTGACTGCTAACCTGGTTTTGTACTTGGCAATTGAACCATCTGGTGTATGCTTGATTTTAAAAACCCATTTCACACCTATAGGTTTCTTGTGTGATGGCAGTGATGTGAGTTCCCATGCGGAGTTCTTTTCTATGGATTTAATCTCCTTTCCATAGCTTCCTTCCATCTTGCTTAGACAAGACCTCCCTCCAATCAAGTAACTCACAGTCAGCCAATAATGCAAAGTGCAATAACTCACCTACTTCCTCAATCTCAACACCATCATACACCTCATAACTACTGAGTCTAGTTGATTGTTGTCTCTAGTTGATTGTTGTCTGTTTCTCAGAGGTTTTTGATTCAACTGCCCAGATTGGTTACTACCATTCATGTTACCAGTATCTTCACAATTAGAACACTCCTCTACTTCGAATATATTTAGAATTGGTCTTGAATGTGTAGCAGATATATTCCAATTCCAACCTTGTGTCTCTTCAAAGACCACATCTTTACTATAGGAGAAAGTCTTAGGAATAGGATCAAACAATTTGTAAGAACCTGCAGCATGATACCCAACCATCACCATAGGAGCACTCTTATCATCTAACTTCCTCCTCTTCTGATCAGGTATATGCTTATAGCATAAACTGCCAAAAACTTTCAAATGCTTCACACCAGACCACACCTTTTTTGGTTCTTCACCTTGAAGCTTTTTTGTGGGACACTTCTTTAGTATATTACTTGCAGCATCTCCCCATATGAACTTTGACACCTTTCTCTGAGCATACATCTCACCATGTTCACAAAAGTCCTATTTCTCCTCTCAGCCACCCCATTGTGCTGAGGAGTATAGGGTGTTGTGACCTCATGTAATATTCCATTATCTTCACAAAATTTGTTGAACTCAGTTGAGGTATATTCTCCACCACCATCAGTTCTAAGAATTTTAATTAAATTGACACTTTGCTTTTCAACAAGATTCTTAAACTTCTTAAAAATGCTCAGCACATCACTTTAACATTGATCATATAGATCCACATCATTCTAGAAAAATCATCTACAAATGTAACAAAATATTTGTTACCTCCAAGTGTAGATTCTTCAAAGGGCCCACAAACATAAGAGAATACAACATTCATCACCTTAGTTGACCTGTCTGGTACTTTGTGCTTATATGAATCTCTGTGTTGTTTCCCTACTGCAAATTCTTCACACACAGTTGTTGGTATTGAGACTTGAGGAATCCAAATAACCATCTTCTTCTCATTTAGCAGCTGCAAACTCTTAAAGTTCAGATGATCAAACCTGGCATGCCATAGCCAGGTGTCATTATAAGCAGTAGTTGTCTTAAGACTCTGAACTTCTGCAGATTGTACCCTTGCCTTGAAAGTCCTATTTCTTGATAAAGGAACTTTCAATAGCAGAGTATTCACATGGTCATATAGCTCTAAGTAACCATTTTTCAAAATAGTCTTATAACCTTTTTCTAATAACTACCCAAGCTCAATAGATTACACTTCATCTCAGGCACATATAAGACCTCCTGAAGATACACTTTCTTCCCATTTTTGTCAGTCATCACTGCATCACTGACTCCTGCCACTTGTATTTCACTCATATCAGCAAATTTCACACTAAATTTCTTCTTATCACATAAATTTACCAGCCAAGACCTATGTCCTGTCATATGGTTACTGCAATCTGTATCCAGGTACCAAGTCTCACCAGTTTCAGGTTCATCACAAGTGGTAGTCATCAGTACTACAAGTTTATACTCTTCTGAGTCTTCTTCTTCTGCAGCATAAGCCTCTTCCTCCTTATTCCAGTTCTTTGGCCTCTTATCCTTTCCTTCACCAAACCAGCATTCATCTTGAAAATGTCCCCATTTCTTGCAGTTATAACACTAGATTTTCTTCTTGTCAAACTTCTTCTTCTTAGTCACAGCTTTAGATTTATCATTTGCATGCCTGTCTGAGTTTTCATAACCTTGATTCTTTCCTTTCTCTTTCCACTTCCCCTTCTGGTCACCTTTCTCGGCATCATCTTTCTTGAATTTGTGAATCAGAAGAGCATGTTCTTGCTGTTCTTTAGTATCCCTTTCTATCAGTTTTTGTTCATAGATTTCAAAAGTAGTCTGCAGATTTTCAGTAGTCATAGTTCTCACATCCTTTGACTCTTTTATAACACAACCAATATAATTAATTTTTTTTAATAGAGTTCTCATAATTTTCTCATTCATATCAGAAACTTTGATATCATGATCACAACGTTCCATCGAATTAGAAAGAGATAATACTCTATTAAAGTAATCAGCTATTGACTCAGTCTCAGACATTTTCAAAAACTCAAACTGGCATTTTAGGGTTTGCAACCTTGCTCTCTTTACCCTATCGCCACCTAAATGATATTGCTCCAAGATCTTCCAGGCTTCCTGACTCGTCTTGGCCATGGAAATCTTCTGAAAATGTGCATCATCAACAGACTGATGTAGCAGGAGCAAAGCTTTGCAATCTTTCTTCTTGGCCTCCCGATAATCTCTTCGTTCTGCTTCAGTTGGATGTTCACCGAGGCTTGGAACTCCTTCGTCAATTACTTCCATCACTTCTTGGAATCCGAAGATGACTTTCATCTGTATGCACCATATTTCCAGTTCTTCACATCAAGAACTGGTAGATTTCCAAGAAATCTGCTCGGATTGAACATCGGAGAATTTAGATGAGATTGATTCAGTCTGCAGCCGTGTGCGGTGGTGTTCTGTCCGGAGGAGCGTGTAGCTCTGATACCAATTGAAGGGGTTACAAACTATAACTAACTAACCAAATAGAGAGAGAGAATTTTATTATTATGCATAAGCCACCAAATATATAAGATTACCAAACTAATCTTAAAACTTAAACCAAACAAAGGAATATTTCTTTGCTTACAAAAAAAAGGAATATTTCTTTCCTCTAGCTAGTAGTATGTGTCTAACGAAACGAAATTAATTTAACATTAGTTTTCTAACATGTAGCAGTTGAATTATTTAAATCTAAATTAAAAATGATAAAGTAATGTGGTCCAATCAAATAAATGATATGTACGGTACCTCATATTTTAAAAAGGTACCGAAGTTGAATAATTTAACATTATCTTTCTAACATTTTCACGAAAAATTTCAAATATGTTGAAACAAACATCTCCTTGTAATTTTTTGAAAACCACTCTGACGTATTTATAGTACTCCGTATTTATATAATAATGTTATAACTGAGAATCTGAGATGAGATTAGAACGGTTTTGAGAGATCAAATTAAACTAGAATCTATTCTGGCAGGCTGAAATGTTTTAAAACGACTTTTTTCTAAAAAAGAAAATCGTATAGATCCAATCAAAGCTCTGCAATTATGAAAAGAACGCTTTAAGAAAAGGAAAGTACAGTGGTTGGTGTAAATTGACCAAAAAAGAGAGTAAACGGCGACAGGAAAGACAAGAGAAAGTGGCAGGCAGGGGACTCGTGGACACAGTCTAGCTCTGATGCGTGGAAGCAGGTTGCTGACGCAGAAATGGCGAAATCGCTTCTCTGACCTATTTACTCCTCTGTCTCTGTAAACCCTATCTTCTTCCCCTTACAGATCTCCTCGCGATTTAGGGTTCATTCCTTACGAGTTACCATAGCATCTGCATTGTGATTCGCGCTTCCGGTTTTCACCTACGAATTCCGTTTTATTTTGCGTTGGCGTTTCTTTTCTGTCCTTCGCGTTGATTGTGTTGATTTTTTGTTTTTCAGCTCATTGTTCTCGTTGAGATAGAGAATGTCGATGGAGGTGACGAAGCTGTTGTACATAGTGGTAGTAGACGATGATGCGGGGAAGAAGGAGAAGGAGTCGTTTCGGTACACGCGCTCGGTTCTGCAGAGTACTCTGCAGCTCATGGGATGCAAAGCGAGACACGCCTTTAAGGTGATGATGATAACTCATTTCCTCTTCACTTTTTCCTTTTCTAGGATCCCAAATCTTTGTTTCTCTCTAACCCCCGGTATTTTGATTTTTTTTTTAATCTAAAAAGCAAAAATTGACTTCTTTTTTGTTCTGGCTTGGTGTCTTTAGACTCTTTACTCTGATATTTGTCTTGAAGTGGTACATCATTTCCTTTTCACCTGGCTAGACTGAGTGGATTGGGGGGAAGTAGTGGATTTTTTTTTTGAAATTTAGATACTTAGGTGAGGCTCATTTGAACTCTATGTCATTATTAACTGCTGAAAGAAACAATAGTTATGATGTATGCTTCGCTTACAAAAGATATGACCTCACTATGGTTTTATGATTTTGCTGCCATCTTTCAGCAGTGATTTATGCTGTGCTTCAGCCAGCCTAACTCATAATTTTCCTACACTGTTTTGGATTTGATGAAAGACTGTGTAGTTCATATAAAATACTTGAGTTATTTGGCCATTGTCTATAAGATTTGTAAGTCTAATTTCATTGGTTTAACTTTTGTTGATCTAATACCTTTTCATTAACTAAAAAGACAAAATTACTTTGGCGGAATACAGTTTTCATTAAATGCAATTACAATAAATGATTTGTCTTTTATGATGAAGTACAAAAATGATTTGTCTTTTATGATGAAGTACAAACAAGACAAACAATGAGATGAATGCTTATAACATAAATTATTAAATTCAAATATTAATAATTTTACTATTGTTATTATTATTATAATTATTATATTTTCTAACACAACAAAAATGACACATCCAAGCCTTAGTAAAAATAAGTATGAGGTCGGCTAATATAAATCAACAAATGAAACCGAAGCTAAAAAAGACATAACAAAATTAAAAGATGATATAAGACAAAAATAAAGACAAAAAGATAGAGAATATTAAAAGATAAGATAGAGATAAAGATTAAAAAGATAAAGGGAAAACTGTCAAATAGGTCCTCGAACTTTCATAAAAAGGTCAATTAAGTCCTTCTATAGAAGGTTCTGTCTGGCCGTTGCGATTTGGGCCAGTTCCCGGTGGAATTTTTTGATCAAATTTTTTGAGCATCTTATTCACCAAGTCTAGTTTACTCATATCAAATTTCAGCTAAAAATTCAATCGGGAACACATTCAAATTAATTCTTGAAGATAACTGCACATTTTTGCGTTCTCGAATTAATTTGAATGCGCTCCCGATTAAATTTTTAGCTGAAATTTGGTATGAGTAAACTAGACTTGATGAATAAGATGCTCAAAAAATTTCATCAAAAAATTCCATCGGGAATCGTCCCAAATCGCGACGACCGGACAGAGTCTCCTACATAAAGACTTAATTGACTTTTTTATGAAAGTTCGAGGACCTATTTGACAGTTTTCCCAAAGATAATAGATAAAGAATATAAGAAAGATAGAAATGATAAATAAATATCAATTCTCCACCCAAATATGTCGTCTCCACTTTGCTATCATCAAAGTCATGCTCTCATCCAATCCAAGAAGTAGCATCTCATCCGTTTGTTTGGGTCCAAAATCATCTTCTGATCCACGTCTATTTGGGTCTTCCTCTACATTTCATTCCCACCTCTTCTCCACACTTCTCAAATCTTCTAATAGTTGCATCACTCGATCTTTTACACACATGACCAAACCATTACATATTCACAATCAAGATTTTCGCATTCTTATCTTCAATAGGCACTACTATAACCTTTTTTCTGATTGTCTCATTCCTTTGACGATCTTTTCTAGTCCGTTAACACATTCAACGCAACATCCACATCTCAGTCACACTCATATTTTGAATATGACATTATTTAGCACCCAACACTCTACGCCATACAGTAATGTAGGCATAATTATTGTCCGATAAAACTTACTCTTCATTCTAGTCGTCATACCTCGATTAGATAGAAATCTTGACGCACTCTTCTATTTTATCCATCCTGTTTTGATTCAATGGGATACATCTTCATCTAGTTCACCGTCCTTTCTGAATTATAGACCGTATGTAACGAAACATATCATTGATTGATATCTCCTTACCATCTAAGGTAATCTCAATGTTACATCAAACTTACATCAAACATTGTTACATCCATCCTGTTCTTGACTCCATCAAACTTACCCTCCATATACTCGGTCTTACTTCAACTCAGCCTGAAACTCCCGATCTCCAAAATTTGTCTTCACACTTCCAAATTTTGCTTTAACACCCGTTCTTGTCTCATTAATCAACACAATATCGTCAGCTAACATTGTGCGGCGCGATATATTTTGTTGAATTGACTTCGTGAGTTTATCCATGATTATAGCAAATAAAAAAAGATTAAAGTCTATTCTTGGCGCGCTTTGAAAGTAATAGGGAACTCTGTAGTCCCCTCTACACTAGTACGGACACTTGCACTACAATCCTCATACATATCCACTATGATGTCGATACACTTATGTGATATGATTTTTCTAGTTAAGACCCACCAAAGGAATTTTCGAGGTATCATACCATATGTCTTTTCTAAGTCAATGAGCATCAAATGCAGATCTTTGTTAATGCCTCTATACTTCTCCACAAGTTGTCTAAGAAGGTGAATGAACATAATTGTTGAGCGACCAAGCATAAAGTCGAATTGATTCTCTAAATTCTTCAGACTTCTTCGCAGCTTTTGGTTAATCACTCGCTCCCAAAGTTTCATGATATGACTCATAAGCTTAATCTCTCGATAGTTGGCGCAATTTTGTACATCACCCATATTCTTAAATAAGAGAATAAAAGGCACTCTTTAGTAAACTTGCTGACATTTTGTTGTTTCTCTAGATCTTGTTTGAGGGATGTGTTCGCCACTCGATGTCTTTATCTTCCAAATTTCTCAAGGCCTCAATCGATATGTCATTTGGACACACCGCTTTCTTCCGCCCCATCTTTTCAGAGCTTCTTTAACTTCTGTCGTTTGGATCCTTCTCCTAAAATCCGATTTACCATAAATCTGGTATAATGAGATCATCAATATCATGCACTTTATTCTCTTTGAACAATGTGTTGAAGTACAAACTCCACCTCTTTTTTTCTCATCCTCCATCACTACCATTTGATCGTCATCCTTCACACACTTAACTTTTCATTATCTTTAGTTCTAGATCACTAATACGAACAAATTTATAAATATCTTTTTCTTTTTCCTTAGTCAAATTTTACATACAATTCTTTATTCACTTTCATTCATGCGCCCTTCACGACTTTCTTAGCTTTTTAGCATCCTTTAGATTCCCTTTTGGTAGCATTCCCTTTTTATTTCTTATGATTTGTTTCATCTCATCATTCCACCCAAACATGTCCTTTTTTGGTGGCAGGTATCCTTTAAATTCCCCAAGCATCTCCTTTTCCATGTAAATGGTATGTTCTATTTTACCACACATCCTCCACATGTGCGTCATTATCAATACACCATACATCTTCACTAGACATTTTGTGTGCAAAGTTTTGTTGGAGATCCCCCTCGAGGCTTCACCACTTTATCTTTGGCTCCACTTATTGCTTAGCCCGTCTTCCATGCTTCTTACCTCAAAACATCTTATATTGAGTGACAACACTCTCACAAGGGGTAACCTTAACCTTACAATCTGTGTAGCTAGTTCTCTAAGTAGTTCGTACTAAGTAGTCAATTTGGGTACTATTAGCCCCACTTCTATAGGTCATAAGTTGAAAGTCTATTTTCTTGAACCATGTGTTCATCAAAGCCAACTCATACGCCGAGACAAAATTTAGAATATTTTTTTCAGCTTCATTTCTACAACATTCTCTTCCTTTTTATTTGAGCGGCTTGGGACAAACATGACACCAAAAAATTGATCTCATGGTGGAGTTAATGATTATAATACTAGTATCTAACATTACGATAAATCTAATATTTTAATAGGTCAACTTTTGTGTTGCTCAGTTTCTCAATACAAAAAGGTATAATAAAACGGTTAAAAGATAAGAAGGGAGAATCAAACAAAATAAAAAACTTGTGGTATCGAAATTGAAAAAGGTGAACACTACTTTTGGATGGATTCAAAAACTTGCACAGGCGAAATGGGAGAATGGGAGTATTATATACACGAACATACTCAGTAATTCATTTTTCTGGTCATGGTAACTCTGGTATTGTAATCTATGCTTGGGGATTGGACCATAATTTCATGTATCATGTGCTATTGTTTTTGAAAGTTTATTCTACAATTCAAGACTTGATGTAACCCATAGGATCTCATGGTAACTGATTTTACCCTTAGGATATAACAATTTAGTATATCATCTGTTGTCACTGAAAGTTTCTCCTATTATTTGTTTCCCATTCAGATTAGCCAAAGTGTTTTGGAGAAAATGAAAAGCAATGACATGAGCAATTATTTGGTTTCAGCGTGTATAGACAAATTGGAGCAGTGTAGTGTAAATGAACTTCTACAGGAAGAAAAGTGTCATACTAAGAGTGAACCATTTGAGTTGTATAAAAAGCGCACAACTGTTGTTGTCAGAAGAAAAATCTTTCTAGATGTTATTTGTGATGCTCTCACTGAATATAAGTATGTGGGTCCTAATCAGAGGGCTGATCTCACTTTAGCTTGCAGGTAAGCTAGCTGATCTTGCATTTGCCTGTCATCTTAAATTAAGATATGTGCATGTAAATATTACTATATCAGTAGTATATTTGCTAGCCACTCTTTGTGTAATCTTTTGACCTTGAGATTTACCAATGCATATACAATATGCCTGCTTCATGAGGCAGTGGGCTCAACAAGGTTGCTACCTTAGACTGCGTACATCTGACCCCCCCTTACCCCACCGTAGGTGGGAGCCTTTGCGGCACTGGGGTAAATGATGATGATGATGACCTTGTAGTGTGCGAAGCATTTGCTGACTTCTCCCTACCTTCCACCTATCTGCCTGGAATATTTGCATAATTGCATATCTAGACAAAATATCGTTGCTGCTGACAATGCTTAGTAACTAGCATAGGTGGTCTTAAAAGTTGATATTTATAGATGTTTGAGGAATTCTGACGGATGAAAATCCAGATGTTGAGTGTAAACTGCATGATGCGCCATAAATGGATGCATATTATAACCCTGTGTTCCACCATGAAACATGGTGAATAGTGAATAGTGAATACAGTGGTTTTATAAGCTTGTTTCTTAATAGTTTCTTGAGAGTATTTTCTTTTCTTATTATTTTGTGACCTTGAAATTTTATGCCATACGAATGGATATTTGCTTCAGAATCCGAGAAAGGAAGGAATCTGTCACCATACTCCTTTGTGGGACTAGTGGCTGTGGCAAATCTACTTTGTCTGCACTACTGGTATGTATTATCTGACTCATACACCCTGTTTGTTTATGACGTCTCGTGTTGCTCTTTGCACTTACTTCCTTTCATGGAGTCTGAATTCCAACATGTTGGTCTTTCTCTTACTAAGCTGTTTTCCATTGCCTGTGGATCCAACTTTTTCTCCAGTTCTCTGTAAGGATGTTTTTAATTTGACTGAAATTTTCTGGTATGGTCTTTTTAGATAAATGTCGGGTCTTTGTGTATCATAGTTTCTGGGAGGTAATTATGAGGTTTCTACTGCAGAATGTTGTGACAAAAACAGTTTGTATCATCTTTTTCTTCAGCTATATTTTTTAAATTGTTATTAGTTCATCTCAACAGGGAAGCAGGCTCGGAATCACTAATGTAATATCTACCGACTCAATTAGGCATATGATGAGGAGCTTTGTGAATGAAAAGCAAAATCCTTTACTCTGGGCTTCAACTTATCATGCTGGGGAATATTTGGATCCGATAGCAGTTGCTGAGGCGAAGGCCAAACGGAAAGCGAAGAAGTTAGCAGGATATTCAACCACACAACTACAAAAGAATGATGGTCTCAATCATTCGACAAATAAAAAGTATCATGCAGATGGGAGTTCTAGTGCCTTCGATTTAATCAGTCCAAAACAAATGGCGATTGAAGGGTTTAAAGCACAGAGTGAGATGGTTATTGATAGTCTTGACAGATTAATTACTGCATGGGAGGAGAGGAAAGAATCAGTTGTTGTGGAGGGTGTTCATTTGAGCCTTAATTTTGTGGTATGAATTTTATATCCACAACTTCATCTTCGCCTTCATCAAATCCCCTTATTCCCAATGGTGTTGGGGTGGGTGACATGAAATGCAGTGTGAATTAATTAATTGTATAAAGTAATTAACGCTGCAAGCCCTCATCATATTATTCCTGGTGCAAAACACCAGTGTCAGTTTTAAATGGATATTATTCCTGGTGCAACCTTCTTACATATGAATAATGGGATGAAATGCCAAAAGCATCTTCATCATAGGGGTTTTCACTTACCTACTTTTTTATGAGGCTGACAGTTTTAACTGAAATAGTTGCTAGTCATGTCTGATCATAAAATTCAAATCAACATGCACATCACGGAGTACCAGTTTGTGCGAAAAAGAAAGAAAACATAACATGAAGTAAATTTCTTCAAATATGACCCTCACTGTTTTTCATACAAACAGGTTGATTCTCTCTTACAAAAGAACCATTATTACTTCTATAGGACCAAATGATTCATAATTTTTTTAGCACAAAACAAGGATACTCTTAGTTGCAAACATTACTCATTTTTAACTCCTATTTGCAGTAATTTCTTAAAAAGAAAAGTACTACCTACATTCCCGAAAAAAGTCTCGTTTCAAAAGCAATTTTTTTCCTACAAAGAGCCCGATTTCAAAAACAACTTTCATTTAAAGCAAATTTCACGTCAAGCCAAGTCCCAAGTGGTTTTAGTAGATCACACCAGACAATCTTGGTATTTAGGGGTATATGTGACCATTCTTGAGTTACATAAGCTCGAACCTTGACAAAAAAGTTGTACCTGACTCAAACATCACTTTTTTTTGTCTTGGAGGAGAGAGTATTTCTTTCAAACGGTGAGTTTTTTTCCTTTGTGGTAGCTGGTAGGTATTTGATTTCAATTCTCTCATACCTTGCAGATGGGACTAATGAAGAAGCATCCATCAATCATACCCTTCATGGTGTTTATCTCGAATGAAGAAAAGCACTTGGAGCGTTTCGCTGTCCGTGCAAAATACATGACTCTAGATCCTGCTAAAAACAAGTATGTCAAATATATACGCAACATCAGGACTATACAAGAGTATCTGTGCAACCGTGCTGACAAGCATCTTGTTCCAAAGATCAACAACACAAATGTTGACAGAAGTGTCGCTTCCATTCACGCCACTGTGTTTGGCTGCCTACGGAGACGAGATGTAGGAGAGAAGCTTTATGATCCTATGACAAACACAGTTCCAGTTGTTGATGAAGAATACAGGAATCAGTGTGCTGCCAATTCTTTGAGCTCCAAGGGTATGTTTCAACTTATTCAACGAAAAGGCTCTTCGAGGCATTTGATGGCTCTTTTCAATAATGATGGGTCGGTGGCAAAGGCTTGGCCTATGGATTCAGTAGATAGCAATGGTAAACCCACTAGGATTGGGATGTCTATGTATGAACCCTTGCAGATTGGGAAGGCTGAACCTGTGAATCTGCAGTTTGGTCACTTTGGGATCAGCGCTTGGCTTAATGAGACTGGTTGCACAAGTCATGCGAGCAGCGTGGATGAATCAAAGGGTGACTTGACAGACAACGGGAGTAGGTATTATTCTTCATGCTGCAGTTCGCCCAAGTTTCTTGAAGGACTACCCAAGGATTCCAAGGAAGTAAGTTTTGCTAATTCTGATGAATGCTCAACAAATAATTTGTGTCATCCCAATCCATAACTGGAGTCTATATACTGTCATTTCATGATTCACTTAACCAAATTAAAGCCCATTTTGGGGTAAAATTGGCTAAAGTTGTGGCCGTGATTGCCAAGTAGAATGAATTATTAAGAATTGTATTAATTGTTATTTAATCGAATGATATAATATCTAGACGATGAGTCTATATAAGTCATTATCCTCCTAGCCATAGAGTAACCTATGACTACTTTTTAAAGTCTATTAAGCTAGTTAGTCAAGTTAGTGTTTGATAGAAAATCTAGTAGATAAAAAGGGCAGCCCTGTGCACATATGCGTCCGCGCAAAGCGAGGGTTTCATCACAAGGATGTATAGGGGGCAAGTCTCCCTTTGTTCTGTTGAAAAGAAAATCAGGTAGATAAGCTTAAAAAATTTAGGTATCAACTGGCATAGTGGCATAACATCAAGTGAATTAGCTCCTGATATTCTTTTTACTTTGCAAACGTATTCCGTTTTCTCCATACTCAAATTTCTTCCTGTCCAATGGCTTTAACATTTAGTAGTTTCCTATTACAGCTTAAGGAAGAGCAATCTGTGCATGGTAGTGATGAAGAACTATCTGAGCCATCTGAAATGGACAGTGACGAGGATTCAAGCGACGATAGTTCAAAACATTTTCATGAAGAGGTATTATGCACAAACCCGTCATCATCTATATTTAGTCATTCATGTTAGCTGTTCATTTTAGGCCATGCACTAAGAAGTGCTAGGCAATCTCTATGAAGTAGATTGAGGCCCAGGTGATCTTAGGAAAGTTAGTAAAAATTGCATAGATTAAATAAATTTAGAGGGAAAAAAATCAGAGGTTTGTTGGAGACAGTTAAGACAGAGATTTAATTCCAGCTGACAGTGATTTACTACCAGTTTGATGGCATGACAGTGATTTAACTCCGTATTTGTTTATTACCCTTCACAGCTGGAAGGGTCAGTGGATGAGGAGTATACCAAATCAGATGAGGAGTATGATGACCTTGCAATGCTGGACGGACAGCAGAATGGTTATGCTCCTGACAATAATGATAAATTTAAGAATAGTTTCCATTCAAGTGACAAAGTGGTCCCGGTTTCGGGAGACCAGGACGAAACTAACAACCTTACAGAAATTCCAAAAGAGAGCACCCGTAGCTTCTTGAGAACCAAGAGCGAGACATATTCGATGCCACTGCCGAGCTGCAACTCATCTTTCCATGAAGAGAGCGAGAAGAGGGTTCCGTTTAATGGAAACATAAGGATTAAGAAGCGGTCTCTGAGTATTCCGTCCCTCGGCAAACACGGATCACTGGTATTCAACAATCACCCCCTTCCCAGTGACTTTTCCAGGTAGAGATGCCTCATCCATGTTAAGGTGTTACCTCTTTTGTTTGTGTGTATCTACAAAGTTCAATTTCTCCAACATTTTTGTTGGTGACTCATCTTTAACCTCATTCATGGTATATTTGTGCAAGAGCAAATGGTGTGATGTTTCCTGGATCCATAAAACCCCGTAGATGTTTCATGAAGTTTTTTTCCCTTTCACTTGCCGCCCTTGTTTGAAGGCCCAAACAGTGACAATTCCAGTCTAACTTTTCATGTAGATGAAGCAGTAATTTTCCCAAGCAAATAAGAGTTGATTTTAAATGGTATGAAATTTCAAGTAAAATTCATGAGGCGTCAAGTTGAAAGCGGTTATAGTCAAACTATACAGCATAAAGGCTTTTTTCTATATTGGGTCCGTTGGGTCCGATCCCTGCATTCTTTCCATAAAACCTGAAGTATTAAAATATCACAGATACATGAAATTTGAAAAAAGTATATACATTGAAATTAATCAATTAAATATTCAAATTTTATTGAAAACATATTGAGGCTACAAATATTAAAATTTTATAAGAGTGCATTAGTATAGTAATAATTTTAAGGAAAAATCGAAAATAATAATCCCAACTGTTGCCGGGCCGCTTATAATAATCTCAACTATTGATTATTTTTGTATAATCCCAACTATATGGATTGTTCGCCAATAATGGTCCATGACCAGATATTACCTCCTATAAAAAGTGAATTTTAAATAGAAATTAATTGTAAAAATTAAAAGTTGAGATTATTTATAGGGATTACTTGTTATATCTCTCCTCATCTACTTTAAAAATTACATGAATTTATTTATAGGGACCATCATTGACGGAAGGTCCCTAAAGTTGGGATTATTTTGAAATAATCGATAGTTCGAATTATTATGAGCGGACTGTCAATAGTTTTTTTTTGGATGAAATGTAAATATATATTAACACCCAAGAAAACTATACGTCAAGTATCCTAGATCTCCTAACCCCCCCCCACACACACATAATGTAGGGATGAAAGGAGGTTTTTATTCGATCTAATCTACGCCAAAAGGACCAAGTATGAATACTTGTCCCATCAAAATTCAAAAATATACATCGATGCTGCACATGCACGCACACAGATCATAAGGTTCAAATCATAACAAAATACAAAGGTATTGTAAGTTGCACACACCCTAAGTCCAAAATACTGCTCCATGCCGCGTAATCCAAGATGCCTATGCCGCAATATCTCATGTGCCCAAGCCGCGACATCCAATAGGTCCATGCCACGGCATCCAGAAAATCCATGTCGCAGTGACGCAGTGTACAGTGTGACCATACCGCGGTATACATATCGTGGCCCCCACTTGATTTTGGCCCACTCAAAAGTTTATCAATTCATATGGATAGATACTATAGAGTATCTTATAGACGATATGCTTAATCTTGGCTATAACGTCCTCCTCAGTCTTCTTGCCATCATCAAAGCGGATCTCATTTCTTGCATGCCATATGTAATACACCACGGCGCATAGAGCAATTCGGGCCGCCTTTGCTTTGAACGTTGATCCTTTGTGTTTCTTCGAAATCCATTTGATTGAGCTAAGCAATGTAGACATTTGATGCCCAAATCCCATCCATTCTCGAATCTTGCCCCATACCCTACAAGTAAATGGACATAGGAAGAATAGGTGTGGAATTGATTCCAATCCACCCTTACACAAGTCACATCTATTAATCATATGGGGATAACCGAGGCTATCTTGGGTAGGCAACCGGTTCCTCAAAGCCAACCAAGCATTAAATGAAAATTTCGGGGGGATATAAGATTTCCAAATGAAACTCATCGGAGTCCTAGGGATCCCTTTAACTCTTAGAAGCTCGTAAACCTTGGCGGAGACCGCCAATAGTTGGAATTATTACTATCAATTTTGCAATAGTAATAATTCCAAAATTGATATGAAATTCTTTCCAACTGTTCTCTTTTAGTTGCAACCAGGGCCGGCCCAGGCCATGTGTACCCTGTTCACTCGCACAGGGCCCGGAAATTCTGAAGGCCCAAAAAAATTTAATACTTCTTAGTAGTAGACACATCTTTTAGTTTCCAGACCAAACCTAAAGAAACAGAGAGAAAACGTTGAAGCCCGGCGTTGCGGCAACTTCAAGCGCAGGCGAAGGACAAAGGCGAAAGAGGGATTCAACAAACGACTGAGTTGAAGACACCTCTTTCGCCGCCAGCCCGCCACCGCACCCCTCTTCCACGGCCTGGAGTCCACAAGTCCAGTTGTCCTAGGGTCGTCTGCCGCTACTCCTCAGTCGTCACCAGTTTGTTCACCGCCTATCCACCTAACTTAGTCACGACCTTTAGCCCCTCACTGTGTTATCTCAGTACTCGGTAACTAGCTATGTCCTGGGCCTAAGCACGTATGATTTTATGAATTTTATCTTCTTAGTCGCAAATTAGGTTGTTTTTAGTTGTTTATTTATTGAAGTTATTAAGTAATTCAATTGATAATGATTGTATTTAGCAATTGAGAAATTGGTATAAGTTTGTTATTAGGTTTCAATTATAGTGTTTCATGGTTTCACCCGAAATTTAAACTGAGTTTTAACTTAGAATTTGTAAACTTGTGCATGATTGACTCATGGAGGATTTCAATATTTAAACTGAGTTTTAACTTAGAATTTGTAAACTTGTGCATGATTAATTCATGGAGGATTTCAATAATTGGCAGTAATCATGTTTTCAAAGAAATACCCATCCGGGTTTAAGAAACTTAAAAACAAAAGAAGACTTGAAAAATTGACTTTGTCTAAAAAAGGGTTCTTGATAAATTCCTTACCAATGTATTTTCAGGTTGATCAATAACTTGTATTTTAACACAAATTAGTGTTGTTGGAACATGGGAAGAAAGGCCCCAATTTTTTTATTGCACAGGGCCTTCATTTTTTCAGGACCGGCCCTGGTTGCAACATTGGACTATTTGCACTATTAACATATTTTACTTTGACTATATTTTATTTATTAATGTATTATAAATTAAAGTTTTAAAAAATGTTATTAAATTCTTCTCATTCTAAATTTTCAAAATATGAATTTTTTAAAATTTTTAAATAATAAGGAATGAAAGATATTAACGGTCAAACTTGTGCATTGGCAAACGTGAAAAGTGGACTGTTGCAACTAAAAAAGAACGGAGGAAGTATTTACATGAATCACGTACTTTATTATTACAAAGAAGAAAATTACTATACAGATAGCTACAGTAATATTGCAAAGCGATGTTAGCTCTAGCTTCTCTGTGGAAGAGAACTAGGGGCACATTTCAAAATTTGAGAGTATATAATTGACGCGCGGAAAAATAAGTGTACTCTATCAGTTGTTGCTTGTTAAAGCCCAGTTAAAAAATATGATGTGTAAAATGAAGTGAAAAACAATGAAAAAGATGAAAATGTTTAATGGTAGTGTGTGGATTTGTTGGACCACAAATATAATAGTTTAGGCTCGGAATCGATTTAAGCTTCGATCTTCACAAAGTAAGCCTTTGAAGCCCCGAATCCCCTAACTACACTTCTCATTCCACCCCTTATTATTAACTACTTCAATCGTTGTTGAAGATTGAAGTAGTCGTATTTTAACACAAATCATTATTGAAGGGGGCATTTATACTGTACAAACTTAAAAAATACTCCCTCCGTCCCTAAATAAACTTCCAACTTTCTTTTTTCGTCCGTCCCAATTAAAACTTCCACTTTCCCTTTTTGGCCAGAATTTGTGGTTCACAACAATTCTTACACATTTCTCTCTCCTCTACACAACTCTCTACCACACAATACCCACTATCTTAAACTCTGTGCCAAACCTATTTGGAAGATATAATAGGGACGGAGGGAGTAATATGTTTGGTTTCTTGGTTTTTCAACCAATCAGATTATAGATAATGCAACCCATGTAATATGCTTTTTACACAACAAAAGATCCCTGAACACCAAATGAATGTATTTTTGAATGTGTGTTTACAATGAAGGAGATATAATACTATTGACTATAGGGGGAATATAATCTCCTCTAGATTAGGGGCTAATATAATTCATTATATTTCAACACGTCCCCTTGGATGTTCATCTTCTAATTATTTGTTGGTATTAATTGCCTCGTTAAAAACATTACTATGGAAAATCACAATGAAATAAACAACCATAGTTAAGGGAGAAAGAGTACACCATTTAATCCCATAATATTATATAATGCACTGGCTAACTAAAAATGTTGTCAGGAAAAATCAGTGGGTTAAAAACTTGAGTGAAGAGTAAAAGAGTGCAGTGCATATTAATACTCCCCTCAATTTAGTATAAATCTCGAAGATGACATATTAGTATCCTGTGTACAAGATCTTCAAATTTCTTCTGGGGCAATGACTTCGTGAATAAATAAGCAGAATTGTCGCATAACTTTATTTGTTTGATGTCAATTGTTCTTTCTCAAGATCATGTATGGAGAAGAGTTTCGGTGCTATAGGCTTTGTTCTATCCTCAATATTTTATTTAACCTCCTTTGATTTCAGCTATACATGTTGTGTTCTCTTCATAAATTATATTAGGATAACAGACACATGTTTTTGTACTGCATGCATTTGTTTTGCATGTGCTGGATCATTGATCTCAACTAGACACAATTTCCGTCAGCTTCATAAGAGCAATCAAATTTGCATGATTTGATGATGTGACAGTTAATGTTTGCTTTATTGATCTCCACAAGATAGCGGTATCACTATAAGTGAATAAATACACCCACCGTATTTTAAAGTTTGTTACACTTTCCTATTTAGGATGAATTTGAAAGTTTGTTAGACTTTCTCTTTTTGGTAAGATTTTCCTTTGAAAATACTCAATCATCGTTACCTTTTTTACTTTTTATTTTCTCTTTCTTACTGTTTCACTTTCCCTTCCACTTTTTCTATACTATTTATTACCCTACAATTTCCCCTTAATATTGTGCAAAATCCTAATGTAGTGATCTTAAATATGGAGGGAATATCATGTTTCAGGTTTTTCCTTTTGTGCATGAGACAAATATCATGCATGGGCCTGACCAATTAATATGACATGTTTGATCTGACGCCATTCCATGTTGGGGAAGAGCTATAGCTGGTTAAAAAATTTACAGAAAAAATGGTCAGATATTATTACCCAAGTACATTAATGCTCCGAGTAGCACTTAGAAGGTGTTTCGGAACCAATGATTTCTTCATCATCTTCAACTCTAGAGAGCGACTTCATGTCCTTAACTTTTATTTATAATCATATGTCGCATAAGACACAAAAATGGAAATTTCCTTTTATTGAAGTTTAATTGGATCGATTTTTTATTTTTTTAATTAATTGGATCGATTTATGTATAATACAGTCTCAAGAAAGATGCTAATAACATTTTTTTCACAAATATCTTTGTAGCCATGTCTATTTGTCATTACACTTACATGTAACTTTTGATTTACATGTATGATTTCAATATGAAACCATGTTTGAAACCAGTGGCGAAACCAGGCCGGGGCGAGCCGGTGCCGCCGCCCCTCCTTCGCCGGAAGTTTTAAGGTAGTATTAGGCTATATTTTCCCGCCGCGCCTGGATCTCCCGTCGTCTCCCCTTTTCTTTTTGTTTGAATTGTTTCCATAGCTCGTAGCTGGTAGTCTGATACCTTCGTCTTGCTCTGTTCAATCGTCAAAGATGCTAAGCAATCATTTTAGGCTTATTGCAACGACGACGTTCGGTGTGTAACTTAAAGAAAAAAGAAACGACGTCGCATGCTATTAAGTTATTACTCCGTATTTTATACAGTAATAAGTTTGCACGGGTTTACAGTTTCAATTCAGTCTCAATTTTGTAAGGATGCAAAGCACTCGGATCTCGGATGGCAGTCATGGCAGAATGACTGTTGGAGAATATTCTAATTATTACTTCGTATTTATTGTCATTAATTATTAGTTATATAGTTGGACTTACGGTGGTATTTGTAACTAATTATGACCAAATTACATTCAAAAGAGATTGAAAGAAATGTAATAACCAAATTATGACACTACAAATATACGTAGTATTAGTTATATTTGTATAAGATTGAAAGAAATAGCCACGAGGAGTAGAAATGTTAGGGCCTGTTTACTAACAGAGATATTTTCCAGTTTTCCAGAAAATTGGAAAACTGGAAAACAGAAGACAGGAAACGTGTTTACCAAAGAAATTCCTGGAAAACTGGATAAAGGAAAAAAGAAAAACGCGTTTACCAAATCGTTTTTCAAAACGGAAAAAATGAGACATGTCTCTTTTTTCCTTAATGATTTGGAGAAGTGTCTTTTACTAGTTTTCCAAATTTGGAAAACGCAGATACTACAGTGCCGCTGCAATGAATTTGCATACTTACACCTAGTGGTGGGTTCGGTCCCGCTTCGATGTCGATTCCATTCCGGTACCTCCATCCTCGTACCTTACCCCTTACCCCTTACCCCTTATCCCTACCCTAGCTTACCCACCTAACCCCACCCCACATAACCATTTTTCCCTATAATGACCCCACCTCACCCCCTACCACATGCCCCTATCTTGGCTCCACCCTACCCTACTGCCACCACCCTACCACCTCGACCCAACCCCGGCCCACCCTACCCTACCCCCATTCGTATATTACCCCTTACCACATGCCCCTACCTCGGCCCCACCCCACCGCCATCCTACCCCCACCCTCGTACCGCCATCCTACCCCCACCCTTCCGCCATCCAACCACCATCCTACCCCCCCACCCTACCCTTCCCCTACCTCGGTCCCACCCAGATCCTGGGCCCACCCTACCGCCATCCTATCCCACTACCCCTACCTTACCTCAACCCCTGCCCTACCCACTACCCCCACTCTTACCGCCATCCTATTCCCCACCCCCTACCCCTGCCCTACCTCAACCCCACCCTGGTCCCCGCCCCATCCTACCGCCATCCTATCCCAACTCCATACCCCACCCTTACCCCAAACCACGACCCTAACCCACCCACTACCCCAACCCCTACCCCTAGACCTTACCACCCCACCCCGACCATACCCCTTACCCCACCCCCACCCATAACTTCCTACCCCGACCCCTACGAGTAGGTATGGGTGGGTATGCAGGGTTGTGGGGGAGTATGAGTAGAGTGTAAGATCGGGGTAAGGGTAGGGGTCAAAGGTGTGGAATTGGAGAACTGGGTGAAAAAATTGATGAACATGTTTTCAGATTTGAAAATGGAAAACTAAAAAATAGAAACAGAAAATTGGAGATAGAAAAACTGAAAAATAAAAACAGAAAATTGGAGAATGAAAAACAGAAGTAGAAAACAGGAAAATATCTCTGTTAGTAAACAAGCCCTTAGTTTTTGCATTTCAAAAGAGAACTTTCATGTCTTTATTTCTTAAATAGAAATAATTACTGTCATATTATGGTAGTATTAGATTTTAAACATGACAGAATTTTTGAAACTTGGTAGTAATTATTCATATTTGGGAAATAAATATATGATAGTCAATTTTTGAAATTTTCAAACATTTTTACTCTTATTTTGTGACGAATTTCCCCTAAAATTTTGTATGTAAATTATCAATAACTTCGACCCAACTAATCTTACTCTCTTGAGTTTTGTCCCAACCCGATCTTGACATCTTTTATCGCCCCCTTTCAAAAACTAGTCTGGTTCCACCACTGTTTGAAATCATTTCCTATATTGCCATCCATCACCCAAATAGTAAAACGTTCCGGAACGTTTTACTATTTGCTTGGATCCAAGGCATTGAATTTGGATTGTTTGTTTGTACACCAAGTCATTTCAATCAGAATTTTAACAAATTTCATCAACTTTAGTAATTTTAAGCCAAACAGGCTTGTTAGAAACAATGTTGTGAAAGGATTATCGAGTCTGGTCAAATAAAATGAAAATATAAAATATAAAGAAAGAGGTCTACACAAATTTAACATGATTCACCAACACTGTGTTAACTAACATCAACACGTAGGAGGAGAGTTGATTTTATTGAGGAGGTTAAGTTTACAAAATTTTTAAAACACATCACGATGCTTTGTACATGAGTATATATAGCTAGCTCCATGTAACCCCAAGTGTGTACAACCGGATATTTTTGCAATTAATTAAAACTCCGGTGGTAAAGATTAGGGATGGAGAAGGCCTTACGACCTCTGTTCGTTGCTCGCTGATGTCCTGGGAATCGAATCAATCGATGGTTTGTGTTATTCGCTTACTGAATTGCTGGAGGCTAGCGAAGGAGGTGCCGCTGGGTGGATTCCTGGGATTGGTGAAGCTGGTGCAGCTCCTGGGAGCAGGGGCGGATCCAGGATCTTTTGTTATTGGGGGCACTCCTAAAGATAGAGAGAGAAAAAAATCATATAATTATAAATTAACTTCAAAATTATTTGAAATTACTTGGTATTAGTAAAACAAAAAAATATTATTTCCTCCATCCAACAATAAGATTCTCGTTTCGATTTACGATGTTTGACTTGTCATAAAGTTAATTGATTCCTATTAATAATAAAATTATTTTTAGTAAATAAAGTATACACACTCTGAAACTAGATTGGCACTTGGCAGTTTTATAAAATCGCAAAGTAAAACTCAAATTTGATAAAAATTCGGATATACAAAGAAAAATATTAAAAACAATTTAAGGTTGTTAGATGAACACAGAGTGACGCGAAAACCTTATTGAGGAACAGGGTATTACATTTGTGGTTTAAATATATTACTAAAATAAAACGTATTTACACAAATACGATTAATAGTTACTACAATCTAGTTTCATTGTAATTTAATTTAATTTAATTTTAAACTAAGCATTCCAGCCCAGCTTGTTGTGAGGTTACCATGCCTAGTGCGAGGTCTCGAGTTCGAATCCCCCTAGGCATATAAGAGTTTGAAACTCAATGGGGCGAGTTTCAACCCTGATTACTCCAGCCATCCAGACCCCCCCCCCCCTCCAGACCCCCCTCCTTGGAGTAAAAAAAGGTTCATTGTAATTTAAGTTTAAAAATCAAACTAACATAAATCATTATGATTTCATTACTATTCTAGTCACTAGTCACTAGTCACATTTATGTAAACAACCTTTATTTAAAGGTGACAACTCTGGTACCCTTTTAAAAAATGGGGTACCGTACCTATCATTCATTCGATTGGACCACATCACTTTATCATTTTTAATTTAGATTTAAATAATTCAAATGCAACATTCTCATTGGTCCGTGTGAACAAAGGTATGATACCTTATGGGTACCATAGAATCTACCTTATTTAAATCATATGAATAAATGTAATTATTTCTTTCATTTTATTAAAAATTGCGCTGCTCTCTCCAAGTTTTCCTTTTAAAAAAGTGGTCTAGCACCTTTATTGTGCAAAATGACTTTTACAATTTTACTGGTAATGGTGCAATTAAAATTTTGAACAAATCTTAAGAGACACATTTTAGTTTGCAGGAACATAAGTTAAATTGGAAGTAAATTGCACAAAGTAAAATTGAATATATTTAATGATCAAAATCGTGAATCATTATTGTAATTTCAGAGAAGTAGTAGTAGGAACATGATATTGAACAAAATCAACATTAGAAAATCAATTGACATTAAATCCAATTGCAAGAGGTAGTCGGTTTATTCTTAAAATTTAGTTGAAAGTATGTAGCCTTGTGGTTGTCTTGAGTGGCAGCTTTTTCGAAATGAAATATGAATAGGCTTTGAGAATTAAAATATGAGACTCAAAAATAAAAACGAGGTGCATTGATTAAATTCTAAAATGGTATATGTTGAATTTGAGATGTGAGGCCGTGGCACAAAAGAATGTACAATTTTTCACGGAGTATTACTCCGTATTTAAGTTGCTCTTCAGTGGATTGCAGCTTTTGAGTTTTTTTTAGGCTTTACTTCAATTGGGGTAAGACACATTAATGGGGCATACAATTTTTTCATTGTGGGCACTTCACTATGCACTTAAGAAAAAATAAAGTTTTTAAACTACTTGCTTGAATCTCATTGGGGGCAAGTGCCCCCATTCAACACACCATACATCCGCCCCTGCCTGGGAGTTGATTGGATGAAGGAGAATCATGCTCGTTGTGTGGCCTGTTGACCAATTTCAACTTTGATTTTAATATGATTTTTTAATATTGTGTGTTAACATTTTCAGCTTGTTAATTATTAACATAAATATATATTTCCTTCAAAAAAACATAAATTTATATTAAATTGAAAATGAATATAGTGTTTATAATAAATGTGCATAACGATTAAAAGAATTGAAAATTCATAAGTAAATATTTGATCACTACAAAGGAGTATACACTAATGAAAATTTGAGTATACTATAGATTTAAATGAGCTTTTTGAATTTTTTGTTGCTCATTTCATAAATTATGTATACTCGTTTGATATTGGTGTAATGCTCATTTTGAAATGTCATATTCATGCATGTTTTAAAAGTATAATATTAGATTAGAATCACATATTGGACTCATACAGATTCATTGTAGATATTTTAAAAAATAAGAAAAATAGAATGAATTAAAGATATGAAACAGAGATTGAGATGCTCAAAAAACAGGTCTCATGCTCATTAAAAATACATTAATGCTCATTAAGCGGATGTCACAAATTTCATTTAAATTACTAAAATGCCACCGCTTTTTAGTTGTGATACGAGCTTTCTTGTAATAACACGGTGCTCATTATTAGACACTTAATATTCATTAAAATTGGACTATTGCTCATTAACAGTACACTAATGCTCATTTAACAAAAATCGCGATTTTCACATTAATTACAAAAATGCCACCACATTATTTTGCTCATTTTCCCTTTGACCAGGGCCGGCTGTACCAGGGGCGGAGCTAGGGGGTGGCCACCCCTGGCCCTGGCCCAGCCCAAATTTTAAAAATCTCTATATTTTTAGTGTAAAAAATTCCGTGTGAAATTTTTTCCAAAAATATTCTTTGTACCGGCCCAGTCCGGCCCAGTGTCCTGGCTCCGCCCCTGGGCTGTACGGTGCTCCCCGTATAGCCGGGTGTACGATATATGTACTCGTATATATAGCTAGCTCCATGTAACCCCAAGTGTGTTAGGCCCAAAATATGTCATCTACATGCCCAAACTAATAAGACCTTAAAGAGAGACGGAGTACTATATACCATTGGGTAACCAAATTCAAGGAATATCAACAAACAACATACCCCATCTGTTCATATTTATCTCCTTATTTGAATTGGCATGGAGATTGAGAAAGTGAATAATTTGGATTGTAGATCAAAAGATAGTATAATACGATGAAACTTCATGTCAGGCCGGCCTGACGGGCTGCCCCGTCCGGCCGAGCCCGTTTGGGCATCTTCCCGGTGGAATTTTTTGATGAAATTTTTTGAGCATGTTTCTCATCAAGTCTAGTTTGTCCATACCAAATTTCAGCTCAAAATTCGACCGGGAAGGTCGTCAAATGATTTTTGCAAGTTAACTGGTCCGGAAAATACATATTCCAGACCAGTTAAGTTGCAAAAATCATTTGACGACCTTCCCGATCGAATTTTGAGCTGAAATTTGGTATGGACAAACTAGACTTGATGAGGAACATGCTCAAAAAATTTCATCAAAAAATTCCACCGGGAAGGTGCCCAAATGGGCTCGGCCGGACGGAGCATCCCGTCAGGCCGGCCTGATGAGAAGAGCACTCAGTATAATACTACGTATAAGTCACATAATTTTTACCTAAAAAAGAACGAAATTATATTTGGATTGTAATTATACAAGTGGATTTCAAACTTCCTAAGATCATCATAAAATATATTTTTTGATTTATTATTCTGAAAAAGTACATGCAATCTGGAAGCAAGAATTCCTATCTGATGATTCCAGAATTTTTTCCCAAAGGAGGGTACTTTTCAATCTTATTTCCCTAACCAAGGTACTTTTAAACTTATTTCCCAAACAAGAGAGTTTCTGCCTCGTCATCAGGTCATATGTGCCATGTCACTATTTAAACTAATTAAATCGGACACATCACCAATTCCACGTCATTCCACGTCACTTTTTAGAGAAAATTGTCAAAATGGGAGTAAAACATGAGGTAATTGCAAAACTAGGACTCATTGTTTTAAATTCTCTAAATAGGAGTAAATATTTGCATTTGGACGTAAATAGCCTCTGGTGCCGTAACATTGCGCAATCGTGTACAAATATGACCACCAATGTTTCTTTTCTAAATGAGGATCACCAATATTATAATATTATTGACTTAGAGTCTTAGACAGAAGAGAAATTTATAATTTTTTTGTAAATGTCATGAAAGATTATTGTTATTATGCATGTTAATTTCGACACAAAAGTGTTTTACATTTTTTTAATATTAGGCTCATTTTAATGACAAAAATATGAAGCAACATATATAGTAACATATATAGTGACAAAATTCAAAAATTTGTCACATATATAGATGTAATTATTGAATGTGTTTAAAAAATTATTGTGCTTAAAATGATAGGATTACTTTTCATATACGGACTCAACTAACATTTTCTCACAAATTCATATTTGAGTATTGTTTAATAATGCCGTAACACACTTTCACACATTTGCACACCCCCTGATTTGCCAATTTACCCGGGCAATTCGTGTAAAAAATGCAATTCGTATAGATAAAGACATAACACATTTTCACATATCTTCACCCCCCCCGTTTTGCCAGGTTACATAAGCAATTCGACTAAATAATGCAATTCGTATAGATAAAGACATAACACATTTTCACATATCTGCACACCCCCTGATTTGCCAGGTTACATCAGCAATTTGCCTAAATAATGCAATTCGTATAGATAAAGACATAACACATTTTCACATATCTGCACCCCCCCTGATTTGCCAGGTTACATAAGCAATTATTCGCCTAAATAATGCAATTCGTATAGATATAATGTCACCATATTATTTAGTAATTATAAAAATTTATACCTTCAGTTAACATATATAGACCTTTGATTTGAAAATGAAAAAATCTTTGTCAAAAATTTACTTGAATGATGGATTTTAATAAGGGAAAATTTTCGAATATGCGTAAATAAGTTTGAGAATTCCAAAATAAGATTGTCATGTTTTTCATTGCCAAAATAGGTGTAATTAATGTTAAGCTTGAAAAATATTGTCATGCTTAAGATCCAATTTTGGAATACATAAAACTTTTTTTTTTGTCCTATTTAGTGTAATTTCCCTTTTAACAAGGGTTAATGCTAGACAGAAGGTACAAAGAAGTGTTTCATAAAATTTGCCATGGAATGTAATTTGTTTTCAAATGATGTTTATATTGCGTGTTACTTACTATTTTGCGGGGTATAAAAATAATGTACTACTATGTAATCATTAGTAAATTGTATTTTATATGTTTTATTTACGTCAAGTTTTATTATTGTATGAAGTATAATT